CGCGTCTCGGCTCCCACACCCCCGCACACAAAGACGCCGCTCAGCGGAGAGAGCTGGCACCCGCAGCGGGAGCGGGGGCGCACGGGGCGCGGGCCCTGGGGACGCCGCCGCCGCAGGGACGCGCGCCCGCAGCCCCCGGCTCTCTGCAGCCGCATAGCCCGGCCCTCAGCCCGAGCGGCCGGCAAAGGATGCGGGGATGTGGGGAGAGAGGAAGGGGACCAGGCGCTCCGGGCAGAGCTTGTTAGAGCTCGGCCCCGCGGCATCATGGGGCTTGTAGTCCGCCTCGAGGCCGGGGGTGGCAGGTGGCCGGGCAGGGTCTGCACTGTTCCCAGATCTCAGGAGAGAGTGGGCGGGGAGCCAACCTTGGCTGGACGCAAAACCCTGACGCCAGGTGGGCTGGGGCAGGCCCACCTCCACCCTCTGGCATTTTGCCTTTTGCTAGGGGAGGAGGAGGTTACAGGCCTTGCTCTTGCTTTGGTGGGAGATGTAGCCTTCAGAATTGTGCTTGGGTTCCAGGGGCTGTGGAAAGGGATCCGGATTCCCAGAAGACAGTGAATGATGCAAAAGGTGTCAAATATCAGTACCAAGGGCCTTTTGAGCAACTGGGAGTCTGGCCTCAGAAATATTTCCTAGGAATCTTCTAAGTCCTCTTTGAAAATTAAACTCCATTTTCCACACTTGACATTGGAAAGAGAAATGTCCAGTAAGATGGGGAGGACAATCACTTCCTCCCATACACAGTCCTCAGCAAGAACCAGAGTAAGGTTGGGCAGATAAGGCAGCAGGTGGCAGCTCCTCACCTCTACTCATTGTGGTCCCTTCTGGAGAGGAAGTAGCTGATTCTAGAGACTATTTCCTTCCTGAATACCCCAAGGACAGAAAGGTCCTTCCAGAACTGCCCCTGCAAAGGGTGTGGTAAAAGTTGAATTGACCTCTGGGGCTGTCAATTGCAAGGGTGTTTCTCCTGGAGGGAGGGGGTACCGATGTCAGACAGATCTGACTTCCAAAACCTTCTCCCTGACAGCCTGACCCAAAGCAAATTGCTGAGTTTTTCAGTCCACGCACCTCTTAAAATGAGATTCTGGATACTACTTCCTAGGGTGAGCTAAGGATAATAACTGCCCTGGAAATGGCACCTCCGTCCCACAATCGGGCAGATTGAGACAGGTGGCAGGACCAGGCACTGTGCCTTCTAGAGCCCACCTTAAAACAAGGCAAGAATAAGGGATTCCACACCGGCCCTGCTTACAACAACAAACCAAGACGTGTTTGTGTGGGAGGTGCTAGCAAAAGCTTGCAAACTCTCTGCGCCTCTCTCAGGTTTCTTTGTGTGGTCTTCTCTCCTTCCTCCTCCACACCCTGCGGTGCCAGGCCCCGGCGGGAAGAGATGGGGAGGAGCGGACTGCCTCGCCCCTTTCCCCAGCCTGGGAGGAGCCAGCTGGAATCTCCTGCAGACAGGGACCGCTGCCCACCTCCACCACGAGGGGTCAGCAGAGTGTCGCGGCTGCAACCTGGAGTTGGGGAGGGGTCTGGAGTGGCGGAGGGGAGTCTAGGAGTGGCCGGCAGAATGCCTGTACATTTCCTTATTAAATTGGTTTTAGGACCTTATGTGTGATTCCACTTTAGCTATCCTGCTTCCTGGGGTGGTGACATTTCCACAGGGAAATCCAGAAACCCTTTTATCCCCAGCCCCAAGCCCAGAAGCTTGGCTGTGACCAAACTGAGGGTGGGGTAGAGGAAGGTTGGGAACAAAGTTTGAACAGTGTGGGGTGCCAGGGCCACTCCCAGGTAGTCTTTAGTCCAACCGGGAGATTGAGGGGGAGGGCAGCGGGGTGAATCATCCTCCTTACCCTGCAAAGCCCAGGGGTCCAAGGAGAGGGGAGTAGGGCTCGGATTGGGGGAAACTGTCCTCTGGGCTGCTGGGTCTCTTTTTGCTAGGCGGCCATAGACACAAAACCCTGGTCGCTTTTCCTCCTGTCTGTACGCTCTGGCTGCCACGTGCTCGAGACGCGCCCACACAGCGGAGAAACAAAGACAGCCAAGCGGCAGGGCAGCCAGCAGCCGCCTCGACATTTAATAAATGAAATTCCAGAGCTGGGGGTCGATCGGGGGTGAACGGGTGGCCACCGCTAGCCGGCTGAGCTCCCGGTACAAACTGCCAGGCCACTCCTCCTGTTCTCACCTCCTCCCCCAGCGCTGGGACCACCAAGCTCACGGACACTTTGGTGAGGGTGCAGCACAGGGCGGCAGGTGGTGCCCCCTCCCTCATACGTTCGCGAGGTATCTTTGCTTGCCAAAGCCCCACCAGCTGAGCGGCTGGTTGTGGGGGAAGGGGAGGCCTGCAAGATTTTTTTTTAAGGTGCGATTATAAATATATCCCGTGGATCGCGATTTCAAACAAACTTGTCAATCTGGGCCGCAGCAAAAGGCGATGAAGGCAGGTTTGCATGTATTTCGGGTGGTGTGACTCATGAGCATTACTTGTCTCCCGGAGAAAAGGAGTCTACCCACCCACAAGTCACTGCTGCTCTGGCACCGCTGGGATAAATCGATCAACTTGGACACCCCTGTCCAAGGACTCCCCTCATCCTTGTTACCTAGCAGGAGTTCCTGATGCTTGGGAAACCCTTCCTTAACTGTGTCACCACTGTCTACCAGGCCTTGTCCTGGGCACCCATGCTCTCTACCCACAAGCGGAATGCTATGGCCTTTTGCTGCAGCAGAGATTGGGGCTGGGTGCACGCGGGGTACACGTGGAGGGGGAGCATGCTCAGTGGAGGTGGGGGTGTGCACCCACGTGTGGACTTCACCTCTGCTCCCTATCTGCCACCCACTTCCCTGACTACCTCTCCGTGTGAAGTCCAGGAAGAAAAGCCATTACATGAAAGGCCCTTATATGCTATATTAACACGTTCTGGACCCACACACCTCTGGTGGCCCAGAAACACTGTGGATGTATATAAGGCAGATGACAAGTGGATATCAGTGCACACATGCACAGTGGTCACTCCTCGGGAGGCCTTTTAAAGCTGCCCAGATTCTTTCTCTCTAGATGGAAGCATGGAGGGAGGAATAGATGTATTTTTAGTCCCGAGGCAGAGGAATACGCTGCATGACCTCTTGGGCACCTAGGCATCCATATTGTCAGAAAGAGTGTGACCACACATACATACACCTGGACACAGAGATGTGGACACATGGGAGACCAGGACGTACCCCTCACCCAAACCAGAGATAGGCAGGTACCCCAAGGCACAGCCCCTCTGACCACGAAGTGGGGGACCTGGGCCTTTGGGTCCTTCCTCTGTTTACTGTTACCCACCCAAACTCGCCGACCCCCGGCTACTTCCCACTCTGAAAGTTAAGAGGATGGAGCTGGGAGGGTAACTCCCACTAATTCCTGACGTAGGGAGCGTCGGAGTAGAGGCCCCGGCCCCAGGCCAAGCGGCCAACAAGGGCCTGTCG